GGTGTTGTGCTCCCTCACTTTCAGTACCAAGTCCACGAATTTTGCTTCGGCCTCACAATCTCCAGTCATGACTTGAACTTCAAGCCACCGTATTCAGGGACAAATGAAATCACTTAGGAGGAGAAAATGGAAACGACCCATGTGGCTTCGGAGATGCGGCAGCCGATACAAACAACAGCTAAGGGGACTGCAATAAAATGCACCCACGAGGTTTCCGCGACTGAAGTGAATCGAACACCACAGCTGCTCAGGCAGGCCATCGCCGCTTCTGTAGACGCTCACTAATCTTCCACACAGAGATGGCCGGATGTAGAGCAAGATAGCATCGCGAGCAGCCAACAGTCTATCGCAGCGGAAGCATGAGTAGCTACTGAGCTCGATTTCTGGAGTAATAACCTCAGAATTCAACTGTGCCTCTGTGAGTCCTAGTACGTCTAGCCGCTCAGATGTAACGGAACGACAGAGTTCATCACGCTTGTTCACAAGACTGCAAACGTTGGTAAAGGCCATATGCAAGCCGTAGCAGGAACCCCCGGGCGTACTTGAATTGTAAGCAGCCTGTTTATCCTGCTAAGTTATCCGGAGGGTAAGGAGTGGGAGAGTGAAAGCCGTCTTATCGTCGCACCATAGCCAGCTATTTGTGACCGTATATCGTTAAAGAGTTGTAAGCACCTTGACCATGAATCTGTTTATGGTGTTTTGGGCTGAACACTAGGTCCCCGTTCCCCGATTTATTTGTCTCCACTAACTGGATCGTTCTAGCTGGTCGGCAGCGAAGCATCCGCTCAAGTTACTGACACCCCGCTGTTGATGATGTGATAATGGCGATACGCCAGTCGGTAGAAACGATGAGGGAAGAAAAGCAAAATAACACACAAATGGAAAAGCAATAACCCCGCCTAGATAAAAAAAATTAAGATGAAATGGGATAGCACATGAAGTAAGTTCAATGGATTCGTAACATGGCCATAATAACCAATGACAGCCGACATCGAAGCCAAGATACAAAGCACACAAGCTCATTTGAACAAACGTTTCGGTTACGTTATTGCTATTCTACCATGTCAATGACGCGCGATCTTGTGGCAACTATCAGACAGCCTCGTGCTGACAGCAAACACTGCTTACCAAAGCGGTAGCTCTGCATTCAGGAAAATGATTTAGACGACTTAGAAGATCCGCGAAACCTCGAATAGTTGTTCTCAGTATTAAATACTCAGTATCCCGACCAAAAATCGGCTATACAGAAATGTCATAGGTGCTCAAAGATGGTCACCTTATCAACATTTTTAGAGTGAACCGACAGGGGCTTAAAGAAAACTGTAATACTAAACACACTGCAATGCTGCACATCCTGCAGTTGATAGAAAGCCAAGGATTAAAAAGCTATCTGGGTCTTAAATCCCCTCTCATATTTGATCACAAGAGGTGGTAAAGCGGCTCACATAAGTGAAGCGACTGACTAGCTGCAACCGTTGTTTAATGACGGTAAAAGCCGCTGGTGTGCACGGGTCTTGGAACAGTACAGTGTAAGTGAACGTGCGAGGACAACGAAAAGGCTCGCAGCACTGTGTTAAAAATAAGATTCACAAAAACCGATATTTGGATATTTGAATATTGCACCGGATCAACCCAACTGATAAGAACATCATTTGCTAAACTTAGCCTGCCATCTACTTGTCAACCCCCCTCGTCCTCCAAACTCAGCTGTCACATCTGCTCGTTTCCTGTCGTGTGTCGCACCTGAATGTTGTCCGTTTATTCACACTTTTGCACACATCTGCACCGTGACACGCTATCTCCCACCTTGAAGACAACGGTGAACCTAACGCGTTGTATTCCTTTATTCACTAGGCAGCGAAAGAGTCTTTGGGCAGGGTTATGTGACCCAATAAAAGAGCATGTGAGATTACGCTCGCGGACTCCGGTTTTTTTTGAACTGGCTGTACAGTCGCAAGTACGGTGATTTGCATTCAGCACGTGTACCTTGTAAATATCCCGGTGTTCCAGCAGTAAGCGAGTATTGTATTTTGATATCGATATGTATGTATGTACAGTGGTTAGGTTTCTCTTTTGTTTTGGTTTCACCCGGGAGTTTTACGAGTTGCTCAAGTTCCAAGTGATTTTGTTGCTTACACACTGTGCCAAGGTGTGCAGCACAACTCGTACGATTAGTAAACCAAGGGCCAATAAGGCTGTCATCCAAGTGGTTAAAGTTTATAGGTTGGTAGAATGCCTACCTCAGGAGCAGCAGAGATTAAAGATGATACACATGACTACGATCACAAGCCTGAACCCGACTGCCGCGTTGCGAGCATAGAGGAAGATTCCCCTGGGATATTACTGCTCGAAATTCGTGATATATAGGACCCTAAATAGAAATGAATGAAGCCAACTGGCACTTCAGTGATAAAAGAGAGAAGTCCGATAAAGGCAGACTTTAATGGCGGAATGAACAATGTGTGTTTGTGACTAGGCCACTCGAGATACAAGATCGTGGCAGCCAAAATTTTTCAATCATTGAAGTTAAGCGGTTTAGAGCCATGTATGGGGGCGTGTTGAGCATATCAGGACATGGACAAATAAAGCACTGATTGGCAGAATGTGGCGGCCAGGAAAGCTCCAATGCGTTGTAGATAGTGTAAAAGAATACGAATGGCTTATAAACATCAGATGAAACGGAAAGGCGGTGACGACTGATCGGACGGATTGCGCATATCGACTCGAAGCACTCAAATTACAGAAGGAAGCACAGTGGTCAATCGGTTTAAATGATGAAATGGGTGGGATCACACTACGGCTAAGGTGTGTACACAGAAAACTGATCAGGTGGATACCCGGAAGAGTAAAAGAACAAGCGCTTGATGTCAGTGACTCTGTTAATGCCTTGATGGAATCTTAGGTTTGTTTTAGAAGGTGAATAATTCCCGATTCAGTAATGAAAACATGGTGTAACAAACAAACTCGTTTTCGACGATTTGTCGTCAGATAAACTACATCACTTTTAAATAGTTAAGATAAGAAAGGATGGATTGAGTCACTGGAAAATGAAGGTGTCAAAATGCCCAAAGTGGGTGTGATTCGTTCACGCGGAAGCTACCCGGATGACAGCTGGCCACGGTAAGGCCTAAGCTTTGACAAACTGTTTGTGCACACACTGGAGGATTATTGAGACGAATCGCGATTGCCGCCGCCAAAGCAAGGATCCGGCATCTGATAAGTTTGGAATGGACACCCCTCACGCGATAGATTGGGCGAAAGGCTTTAGGGATAACGACCGGATGATTCGTTTCGGCTAGGTGGGCAACTATCGCGCTGGTGCAGGTTTTGTACAATTCTCAGCTTAGCCACGCTGCGTGATGCTCGCGGACGCGTTCAGACAAATGTCTCGTTGTGCGACCTATGTAATTTGTCCCAAAGGAACAGGTAAATTAGTACACACAGAAGGAGGTGACATCGACAAACAGTTTATTCTTCAGTCGGTGTAGCATGAGCGTTGAAGTGAAGATAGTGCGTAACTGTGCGGCCCCATAGGTGCTAATGACGGCTGCTCGTAATGGTTTGCTAAGGTTATCGAACGATTGTCCCCCTTGAATGGCAACGATAAGTACACGGGCTTCTTTCATACTGCGGGTGTTTTGGCGATCACATAATCGATTCGCATATTCCTATCAATGAATGCTTGTCGATAGCCTAGAGAAGGGTCCGTTGAGTGAGATGATTGAGCAGCTGCCGCTCTATAAACGCTATGTCAATGACGTGATGTGTATAGCGGACGGCTACCACAGACCCAGTTGAACTATCGTAATAATTTAATCGGACCCACAGGAACATCCAGTTTTGCATACAACCCTAGTCAATTAAGGGTCTCGCTTTCCTAAATGTACAAATGTCATGTAGGCCAAATGTATGTTTGCAGCGTAGAATCCACAGGAAGGCGATGGGGACAGAGCAGCATACTATTTCGATAGCTTCGTGTCAATTGGACAAAACAAAATCTAGTGCGGTGTCTTGTAGGAATAGCGATGAAATGTTCCGAACACACTATAGAAACAGAGCGTGCCATAATAAGAAATCAGTTCCTCAGTGACGCCTATCCACAAGCCTTCATTGTTAGGAATACGCGAATCGATTATGTGATCGTCAAAACACCCGCAGTATGAAAGAAGCCCGTGTACTTATCGTTACCATTCATGCTACACCGACTGAAGAATAAACTGTTTGTCAATGTTACCTCCTTCTGTGTGTACTAATTTACCTGTTCCTTTGGGACAAATTACATAGGTCGCACAACGAGACATTTGTCTGAACGCGTCCGCGAGCAACACAGCGAGGCTAAGCTGAGAACTGAACAAAACCTGCACCAGCGCGATAGTTGCCCACCTAGCCGAAACGAATCATCCGGTCGTTATCCCTAAAGCCTTTCGCCCAATCTATCGCGTGAGGGGTGTCCATTCCAAACTTATCAGATGCCGGATCCTTGCTTTGGCGGCGGCAATCGCGATTCCTCGCAACAATCCTCCAGTGTGTGCACAAACAGTTTGTCAAAGCTTAGGCCTTACCGTGGCCAGCTGTCATCCGGGTAGCTTCCGCGTGAACGAATCACACCCACTTTGGGCATTTTTACACCTTCATTTTCCAGTAACTCAATCCATCCTTTCTTATTTTAAATATTTAAAAGTGATGTAGTTTATCTGACGACAAATCGTCGAAAACGAGTTTGTTTGCTACACTACCTTTTCAATCTGATGGAACCACAAATATAAATTAACTTCCAAGGAAAGTTGAACAACTAAAGGTGTCAAGTTAACTTGTTGAAGAGAGGTACAGAAACATCCCTTCGCTGGGGGTGTAAAACAAAAATAATGAAACCAGATGGAAATTGAATGTTGCCCGCCTAAAAACATTGCATACCACGACGCGTTTGGACCTTATTAGGTTAGGAGTGTAAATAGCCACTATTCGAAGAGATAAGCCGAAAAAAGTGAAAAGGTGCGTACTGTAAACGGTTCGGACAGGCGCCAGGGGCGATATGCGCGCTTAGGTCTGGATGTTCGTTGGGTGGCTGAGTCCGTTCGAATGCCCTCTTCGTCTGACGAGGAAGACGATGGTCGCCATCCCACAGTCGGCTGTTGTGCAGCGAGAACAGATGAAGTTCCAGCGGTGTCTGCAGTCTTCCTGATGGGCGAAGAACTTGTATCGAGAGGAAGCGGCGGTGGCGACGCATGATTCAGACTTGGCTCTTGTGGCCGTTTAGCATTGCTATTGTTGCAAAATGAATCCAGTGTGACTGGCTTCCGTGAAGTCCCGCCAACAACGCGAAGACCGCGGGTTTCCATGAAGACTTGAGACTGCGCGAAAGAGAGAAAAATCAAGAGGTTGTTGTTGCATCCGGGAAATGTGCATTATTGAGAAACCCCAATATGGCGAAATGGCCGCCTGATGCATTTCCGGACGGACAAAACGACTATCACGCTTGTTAACTGCTGCGATGAATTCCATAAAATTTCATAACAAAAAGCCTACTCATTGGTTAGTAAAAATGCGATGACTCCGAGAATAAATGTGCTGTTGCATATGGGTCGGTGTCTATAGAAGAATCTTCGTCAAACGACCTAGCTACAGCTGTCGGAGTAAAACAGGGCATAAAAATTAGTCCGGTCAGTTCCGAGGAATAGTTGGATTGGATAAAAAGTCCCCAAGAAACCGCAACGACTGGACATCAGCCGTGGAACGACTACACCACAAGAGAGAGGGATCGACAAGCAAGAACAAAATTCCCGTGGCAATCACCAGGAGTTAGCGTTGGAAGCCACATGGTGTTCTACTACTGGGCCAAACATGATGAATTGTTTACCAATAGTTGGAGTGCAGTAAGTTTCAGTACAGTTACGGAAGTTAAAAATGGCACTAGAGATGTGAAAAGCTCAAGTGGTCAGGAAAATAAAAGGTGGGGCGTGATGCGTATTGCTGGTAGAAGTGCATGATGTAGTTACGATTATCAGGAGACATCTAGGCGAGTAAGGTGTGGATTATGAAGGTTATGGTCATCTGGAACTAATCTGACATTCTACGTGGCGGAATGTGATCGCCACCGAAGTCCGTTTTTACAATTTACTGAGGTCACTTGGCATCCGTTTAGGGCATATATATTGTAGGTAGCATGAAGACAAAACACAAAAACAAAACAAATCAATTGGTAAACGACGCACTGATGCGTGGAGACTTAGAGGTATTGGAAACACGAAAGTGGAAATATTAAGCAACTAGAGGCAGGTAACTAGTCCCCACTACGAAAGCACAGCAACACACACATTAAATACGATGACAACTGAGCAGTATTTTGTACTAGAGCTCCCATGTCATGAATCAACAAGCTATTAGACACGCCATCAAAGAATAGTGATCAAAATAGTGACGAGGAACTCCATTGGGGCTTACATGTACGCAAATATCACTATGGACCAAGGTAGCCACAACTGGCCCAAGGCACATGAAGATGACATCTGCAAGATAGACGTGTTAGGGCTTTCAGCGCTGCTTAATTGGCTAGTCTTATGGTAAAGATAAACCAACGGCACGCACAACTTAGTGGGGACTACGAGTGCAGCACTAATGTTTGTTGCACGACATGTGCCGAGAGGTCTCGACTCGTTCAGTTCGGCGGATTGGTCGAATATGATTCGAATACCGAAATCGAAACCATTCTACAGTCACTAATGACAACCTACTCTGCTGAATTTATGAAAGCGTCTCGGAGCGTCGCGCGAAGCACACATTATGCAGAATGCGTTAACAGGACCAGAAATACTATCAAACGAATTTTCAAGAAAGAATTTCGTGAAGCGAGAAAACACACCGAGCTGGTGGACAAGTTGACCTCAGACACTACAGTAAATAGAGAACAAAGCCCGCTGATGCTCTCCAGCAATGTGCGTTATCTCCTCGGCAAAATCGCTGACCCTACTGCCACTACGATGCGTAAGGAATATGCAAACACACGTTGTGATGCTTTAAGAAAGTTGGCTCCATCCTGACATGGAGGACGAGGTATCCAACTCAGTGACTATAGTGTCATAAGGACAGATAAACCTGGAAAGACGTGTAATCGTGGTGACGTCATCATCTACATCAAGCCACTCTGGTGTACTTCGGTAGCCGTGTTGTCTACATATTCAACATCGAAGGTTAGCTGCCATTTAATTGAATGTAAACCAGGGTTTTTGGGCCGATTTCTTTCTGCAGTCACTGGAAATGTCTGTACAGCTCCTGACACACCACTATCTGAGTCGATGAATTTCGCTGAACACTTTCCTAGCGTCATTGTCTAGTGTCAATGTCTAATGACATCAACAAGAGTGACACGGCATTCATCAAATCACTTGGTCTAACAAATGGGATGAAATTCTAAAGCAGACTAAACGCACAGTCGGATTTTATCTCCATAAATAAAACAGTCGTTTTCTACGCTAAAGACGACCCCTCTCGGAAACTCAGATGTGTCCAGTCATGAACTGCAAAATCAAATTTGTCTCTGCCATTAAAAATCGTCGGACGACGAGAATGATCGACAGAAAATATCGAGAAACTCCAAGCGACGTGTTCAGTCTTAAAGAACGAAAATCGCTCTGGAGTGCGACCACTTGACTGAATACAATAAATTATGGAAATATTATGGTGTTGCTCATCCCAACAATGGTACTCCACGACCGCGGTTTCGTCCTAATTAGGACTCATCAGGTGGAGATAGCCTGAGTTGGACTGGAACTCAAAGCCTAGTGGCCCATGTTTGACGCCATAAGCACTATGCCACTGTGTTTCCCTGTCGACAACACCTACCTACGGATGGATAGATTTTCTTCGCCGCTACTGAAGAAACTTAGGAGAAAGAACAAGCTTATAAATGCAAAATGACTGCGTAAATTAAAGGACTCTCCTGAGCAATCTAATCTGAGATAAAAATCTTGAACCGCTTATACATCAAAACTGTATTGGGCAATTACGATTACAATTTTTGAGGACTTTCGAAGCACCTATATGGCCAAAGTTCCCATAAGCATATTGGTAACGTAGCGTATTGGTAAACAAAATGCTGAATGCTGTTTTTCTCAACAGGGTACATTTGCTTTGCCCCACTTCACTAACACAAGTCCGGTAGTCACCTTTGACAGGTTTAATGTTTGCCGAGGCTACCGGCCCCAATGCACTGTCAACAGTTGTCCTAAAGCATTGTGCAGACTATCTTGTGAAACGTCCAACCGTCGGTCTGAGTGCTCGCTGAGCTCGGCAGTTTGGTTGCAAACGTTTCGTCACCACCCGAGGTGACATAGTCAGTGCGCGTTTATGTAGCAGAACAGCGCGGTACGAAGCATCAGGGAGTGTGAGTGGTCGATCTTCTAGCCATCAGTCTGAGTCTGGATCGTTCGACGGACACATGGCCATCAAAATCGATCTCTGCCGAACTCAGTGAACACTAAGACCACCAAACGTCCAACCGTCAATTTCAACCGATGTCTCATGGATGGCACCAACCCTAACATTTGGAGACCTGTAAAGATAAGGTCTGTGCCCAAGAAGGTCTCGCACAAGTATCATTCTATTGCATGTACATTGGTGAGGCTAGTCTTCAAAAAACTACTAGCCCCTCAAATTTTCACACACACCAATGCAGGCGATGTGTAAGTTCGCTTACAAACAAGGCCGCTCCATACTGGATGCTGTATCATATTTTGTGCATTCTGTAGCATCTACATTGGGTGGAAAACGCGAGACAGTTCGCCTTCTGTCGAACATGCACATGTTTTCGGGAGATTGGCAGATCGACACTGCTCAATCATCTGTCTGCGAATGGGGTTGCAACAAGTGCTTGCAGCGTGGTTAAAGGCTACTTCACAAAACGCACTCAATTCACCAAGATGATTGGAGCGAAGTTTTCCGCGTCGCTCTCTAGTCGTGGTGTTTTGCACGGAACCATCTTCTTACCAGCTCTAGTTTCTTTATACATTGAACGTAAGTATGCTGATGATATCGTTTTGGAATGCATTACTCTATCTGTTTTTAAAAATGATCTAGATAAGCTTGTGCTTTGGTCATCGTCCCGACCAATAATTTCGAACACTCCCAAATGTTGACGCAACATACTTGTTTTTGCCAGCTGACAAGTTACGAGTTGTTTTGGATGACACTTCTCCATTGGCAGTGAGTGATCAGTTCATACCCAGATCGTCAAGTATTAAATAGCTAGGGGGCTTTTATTCCAAAAATTATCATGGTCTACTCACGTGAGAGAAACGTTTTGTAAGGTCAGACGGTTATCGTTTTACGCCGTTCAACCTAAAGTAGTTCCAGTATCCTGTGATTTGATACTCAGATTTGTGACTGCATTTAAACTGCCACATTGGCTCTATTGTTCGCTGTAAGACTGCTCAAAAAATACTTTACATTGGTTGTATGATTAATAAAGCTTATTTCCATATAGTGGATCGTCAAGTGAGTTCAAATGCTTGTACCAGCTATTCCTCAAAAATTTTATACGAGCATCTCTATACACTACATTGTGACCTATCAAAAATACTATTTACTTCCTCTACCAATTCCAAAGCTGTTTATTTTCTCATACTGCATTTTATCGAAATACTATTCTACCGTACCGATCCCGCTTGCATGCTGACCCAGCCAAAACTATCAGTATGATGTGAAATTAGTTGCTCGAATGATATGTGTATACATGCTTTATTTTTTCTTATTAGTAATAGTGATAGTAATTTTATATACTTCATCATTCGCAGTGAAAGGGTAACATGCTGAAGATGCACCTAGCCGGCTGCATAAAGCCTACTTTCACTTGACTTTACTTAACATGTTATTAACTGTCCACCGCGGCACTTTTTCCGGTCGCTACCGGGGAGCGCAAATAATGCTTGGCGGGGAAGACGATAGACTGGCATGCGTAACACATGGCCAATCCAACGCATGCGGTGTCGGAGAATAACGTTGTGTTGGCAAGGGCTGTTGGCTCCAAGCACTCGGCCTGGGATTTCAGTGTTTCTTACGTGATGTTGACACCACACGCGAGCAATCCTGCGCAGACAACGAATGTCAAAAAGTGACAACCGAGTCAGCCAGGTTCCACAGCCGCACAAGAGGACAGCAATGACAGAGGCAATATACATCCTGCCCTCAGCTTGAGCATAACATAGTGATGACGTGATAGGTGTTTTAGTCTGATGTGTGAGAGGCGTGCCTTTGCGATCCGAAGGAAGGCATCAGCAAAGTGAAAACAACCAAGATGGTCGTGTATGTATTTAAGGACGAAAGAAGTTTCCAAAAACTAGAATACAAAAAATCACAC